AGAGAGAGAGAGAGAGAGAGAGAGAGAGAGAAAGAGAGAGAGGAGAAAAAAACCGAAGTACGAATGATTTGCATTCTCATGACGAGAGGAAAGGGGAGGGCCCAACTGTAGAAGGATCCAGAATTCGACGGCTCTGGACTAGATACCGTGGATATGCACAGTACGGGTACGGACCGACCGAGTGTCACTTGGGAGAATGACATTTAAAATCCGTGACTGAGAGTACGACGACGACGACGAAGGAGAGGAGGAAAGATAAACAGAGCAAACAGGGTTGACAGTCCGACGTTGACAGTTTTGACAGCCCGGGGCACATGGGGCATTAAGCCATCCTTCGAGTTGAGTGCTGTTGAAGAAGCAGCGATCATGGATCGCAACAACGATCTGGACCAACACTTGCTGCACCAATTCAGCTGCCTGGGCACCACGGACAAAGATGACCTAGTGAAGCAGCTGCAGAAGCTACTGGCGGACAGCCATCTGAATGAGACCACTGCTGCATTCTTCCTTGACATGAACAATTGGTAAACGGACATTCCCCCCATCGGAACGCTACTTTGCTGTCCGTGTACGCTGTCCACGCACATAACCTTGTATCGCCATGTTTACCCCCCGCAGGGTATCGTTCTTTCTCGATCCTCTCTGAAAGGCCTCTTTCCCTTTTTTTTTTTCAAATTCAAAGGGTAACTCGTCGGGTAATGCGTTATTTTTCCTTTAAACTTCTCTTTTTTTTCTCCTTGAGATGCCGTTGCCCCGATTTTGTGAAAAATCTGTGTCAAAATATTGCCAATGTCCCATTTCAGAGTCTAATGATAATGTGGACTTTGTGGTCATACTTTTTTAATCCGCAATTTAAGTGACGCATACATAATATGTTTTTGTATTTTGAAGATAAAAGGGCCATTGTGTTTAAATGCAAGGCATAGCTAAAAAAAATTTTACTCAATGAGTAGCACTCAATAATGCTGGATAGTAAATTTTTAATTAACACTTAAACTAATTGTTGATTTAAAAATTAGAAATATATGTAGATTTGTTATTTCAACGTCAATTAAATCTTTAAATAAACATTGTTTTACAATGCAATTTCAATCATAATGGTCCTTGCTTTTGTCTTCTAATTTGTTTGCAGATAACAGAACAATGTCATTGTTACATTAAGACATATAAAACCCAAGTTAAAATCTTATAATTTAAATTTAGAAATATATTCATCTACAAATAAGCGAATCATTGTAACGTTGCAGTAATTTGCTTTTCTTGGGAGCAAGTAGAATTCATTCCTTTCTGCTAGATATTATTGTAATATAAATTTTTTTCCAGGAATCTGCAAGCAGCAATTTGCAGCTATATTGATTTTGGAAATCCCTTCAATACGCCGTGTATGACATTGATATGCGACAGTACGATCGGCGAGGGAGAAGCTGTGCCACCTAATACAAACTTTCAGAAGTCATGGCGCGTGCAGAACAGTGGTACTGAGACATGGCCCAGTGGGATCCACCTGCAGCATTCTAGTGGAGTGCAAATGGGCTGTGCGCGGATACCTGTTCCACCATTGGCCCCTAAGGAAACCACAGAGTTAAGCGTAACGTTGAAAAGTCCGGCTGAAACCGGCGTGCATCAGAGTAAATGGAGAATGATGACGCCCAATGGTGTCTATTTTGGTGGTACGTCCTGAATTCTATGCAGCCTTTCCGATAGATATGTGATATAGAAAAAGGATCAGCGAATTTAAGAACATGTAATATTAAAAGAAATAAATATTCTACTAATGTAACTCGGTAAATCAATCTTGCTAAACAATGTTAATTCAATTAATTGAGATGTGCACATATATTATGATTTTCAATTTACTTATCTTGTTGATATCTTACACTGATAACAAAACACAAAAAATATCATTGTTTGTTTTTCCGTTGATTTCCAAAATAAAACTCGTCGATTCCTTTTCTAGATTGCTCTATTCGATTCAATTTCAATTGTATTTTATCGCAAAATTATTTTTTTGTCGTAGATGTTATCTGGGTGATCATAGCGGTGAGTGAATGCGGCACATTGGCGGTCACTCAACAGTTGCATCAGTTAAGTACACAGTCCAATGATGTACAAATGTGCTAGCCTTTGACGTACAAAAGTCTCCCTTAAGAAAGATTTGCGGAATATTGCATAAGATGTCTCTCAGATCGTTGTGAGAATCGGCAGTTATTTCTAAATTTTGTATAGTTGCTTTTTTCACAACGGAGCTTTTTACCGCTCCAGCACCTCGTAAAAAGAAATTGCTGTGTGTAGCAGAGCCATTAATAAAATATGCAATAGATTTGGCTATACTTTTATCCCGATTGAAATATTAATAGGAGAGACGCGAAGTTAGTTCAAAATAAAACTGCATTTTATAAAAAAAATATTCCTATATATAAAATTTCTATCTAAATTTTCGTTAAAAATAATCTTTTTGTTTATAATGCAGGATCGATTATTTCCAATATTCTTACTGATTTATATTTAAAAAATAACGAATTTATACATATTATATATAGAATTACATAATTTTGTTATACTTAGAAGCTGCTTATATAAGGCCTTTTGCGATCGTCCATACTTGTCGATCATAATCGACCGAAAAAAAATTAAATTTGTGTAATATAGAAGTTGGAATAGCGCGTGCGATAATTTTTATTGGAATAAGGAAACGAATCGTGATAGATTTGCATGAATTACATGCGATGGGTATTGAAGATATTGATATATACTTAAGGTACAAGATTTATTAAAAATATAATTTCTCTTAGAAAGTTAAGTTTAGTTAAATATATACATGTATACATACTAGCATAGATGTATATGCGTATATAAGACTTTACTTACGATATGTGTAATAGCTAGGAGGTTACAGTATAAGATATATTCATCACTTTTCCATCAGCCCATATAAAGAGAAATCGAGCTATATTAAGGTAATTTTTTTATATCTCTCTCAAGTCAAAAATATTGTATAATTGAAAGTACTATTACTTAATCGGTGTATCTTAATACTGATCAAAAATACTAGAAAGATTAGTTTCTAGAACATTCGTTTATTAGTTAAGTACATTAAAAAGCAAGGACTGCATTCAGCAAAAAAGGTAGTAGCTTTATAACTATAAAATTCTTTAATGTGATTGATTATGAGGTAATATTAGGCAGTATCACATAGAAGCTTCAAAAAAAGCATGATTGGTTGTACATTTATATCTAGTGAGGAAGTACAAGAGGAATCAGTTCTGTTAAAGAATTATATAACGGCTGTAAAACTTTTATTTCTACTGAATGCAACCAATGTCGCGTCATTAATGAATTTTATGAGAACGAAATGTAAATTACGTAGATCTTTCAGAGGATAAAGCTTATTCAAACGAGATAGTTCAGACAGCCATCTTCATGTAGAGTTTGGAGTATGGATTATAATCTATCAACTCAAAATCCTCGGCAATGAAATCGTCAATATCTTTAACTTCTCTAACTATCTTTAATTTTGGAAACTCGCGCGGTTCGCGTTTTACCTGTTTCTCAAGGGCGCTTATATGGTTGACATAGACGTGGCAGTCTCCCATTGTATGTACAAATTCTCCTGGCTGAAAAATAAAAGGAAATAAAAAATAGAACAAGATTTGTCTGGAATTTAAGTGCGGAGTATCGATCCTTACCTTTAATCCAGTAACATGAGCGATCATGTAAGTTAGCAAGGAATATGACGCTATATTAAACGGCACTCCTAAACCCATGTCTGCGCTTCTTTGATAAAGCTGCGTGGACAATTCTCCGTTATTCACGTAAAATTGTATGAAAGTGTGGCACGGCGGCAATGCCATCTTTGAAATATCAACTGGATTCCAGGCTGACATTATAATACGTCTGTCCTCAGGAGAATGCTTTACTTTGTGAATGACTTCCTTCAATTGGTCTATTCCTAGAATAAATACACAGTTAGTTTCAATTATACTTTTATGTGTTCAACAAATATATGAAAAGGAGAATTTTAGATTTATTTTAAAGAATACTTTTATCAAAAATACCTTGTCCTGTGTAATCCGTGTGCATATCTTTGTATTCAGCACCAAAATGCCGCCACTGGAAACCGTAGACAGGTCCTAAATCACCCTCCTCTCTATCAGTGAAACCACAGGAATCCAAGAAAGCCCGTGAACCATTTTCATCCCAAATGCGAATACCCTTATCCGACAATTCTTTGGAATTTGTCGATCCTTTGATAAACCACAATAGTTCTTCAACCACTGCTCGCCAGAACACTTGTTTAGTTGTCAATAATGGAAAAACACCTGTAATCGAATAAGCAAAGTGTTAACAATATGCCATCAAATTCGAAGATAATATTGTGGTAAACTGGCATTAGCTGCATCTATATTAAATGTTTCATCAGTAAAAATTCTACTTGATTTCTATAGCCAATCTATCATTATATTCCCTGATATTTCTACTGATATTCTGAAAGACTAAATTACTTTGAAAAATTTATACACCTTCATTCTTAGAAATTATTATCACCTATCTTTGCATTATCAAAAATAAACTCAATAATAAATATTCTAGTTGGAACTACATTGCATTTACCATCTCGTAAACTGAATCGCATTTGCGCTCCGAAAATAGAATAAGTATCCACACCAGTGCGATTGCTCTTCTTTGCTCCACTCTGAATAACCTTCTCTATAAGTCTCAAATACTGATGTTCCTCGTGTTCTTCGTTTGTTTTTTCATTCATCTTGTGCTCCATATTTCGTGTCGTTATTTGCAATGATTTTTCAACCTCGACACTGTTATTCACTATCTCTTCTCCTCTTAGCATATATCGTATACAATAATACCTAAAAAAATATATATATAATGTATATATATATATATATATATATATATATATATATATATATATATATTGCAGCAACTGGAAATCGTTATTCTAGACGATACAAGAGAACACCATTACGAACTTCTGATTGCCATACCTAAATTATTTGAATCAAATTATTTAAAATTAATATATTTTCTCAAGATATTTCAGCCAGATCAGTCAGTGGTTATACGCGTCTAAACTGGTCTAAACGCGGGAAAACGCAAGTGACACGTGACTTATCCTAGTTGAAACCTGAAACCAGAAACAGGAACAAGAAAGATAAGATGGTACAAAACTCAAAACACATGCCACATAGGCTGCGTTCGTTTTAACGCTTGTGAGCACCAATTGTCCTTGTTTAATATCTAATAAACAATAAGGATGAAACGACATTTAAAGCGTTGTGAGTGGCAAAGTGAACACAGCCATGGTCCATCAGTCCACACTTGAAAGGCACATGAGCGCTTTTTTTGAAATGCTAAATATGAAGGATGTTTTTCATTCCTTTTTTTTAAAGGAAACAAATTTCTGGAAGAATCAAATTTTTTTGTAAGGGTCAATGCAAACATATACAGCCTTTATTTCTGATATAATATAATCATAAAATAAAAGTAAATTAACATACATAGTGCGATATATATCCACATTCGCGTGTATATATAAAGCGAGAAAGAACAGAATAAATATAGGTGAGTAGGAAATCCGAGGCGCCTGATATGCCAGACGATTCGTTCTTGTAACTTTCGATATATCGAAAGGAAAAAAATAAGATTAAGTATTATCCATAGGATGCGTGATATTATAAAGAATGTGATCCACTTAACGTAATATAAATGCTTAATTAGAAAACAAGAATTTTACGAATTGACCAATCAAAGAATGCTTCAACGTGAAATGGATCGCATCTAAAATGTGATAGATGTGTGTATGTATGTGATGCGTTGGACGTTCGACGTATGTACAAATATTACGGAATTACATTTCTTTCTACGTATACGTATATATAAATGTATGTACATCGTATTTGGTATTATATTATTTGGTAACATAAAGTGCACGAATGTCTTTCGCAAAGTAAGAACGTAAGAAGCGAGTTCACGTTTCTCACAAAATTCACCGTTAGTCATATCAAATTCATTAAGTAATAAATCGCGTCGTAAGGATATCCCGAGACTACTGGATCTTTTTCCTTTAGTCGATTTGAAGCCGATGTTTCAGTAGAAAAAATGTACAATGAGATTTCGCATATTCTTTTTAAATTTCAAACGAAATTTACATACAGATTTTAGTTTGAATTCAGAACATCATGAATTTGAAATACAATTATCAAAAATTATCCCAACATTCTTGTTGATGGAATCCTCTTCGAATTGACCGTGATTCAAGGAATATTCCGTGGTCTCAGGACATCACGTATACATTTCAACGCGATATGTATATGATGTAGTAAATGATCATGATGATTTATACAATTGTACGCTGGAGAATGCTGTTGCAAAACTATATAATTTTTTCCTCCCCTTCGTTTAAAGTTAATATTAAGGAGCGATATCCGTTAAAGTACGCCGGTCTCGCAACAGATTTGACTGAGTACCGTTCCCACGTAAATAGATCAGTCGTATCGGTTACGTATTGATGGCATTAGTGCTATCCAGCGTATTCACGGTCACCTCCTCGGATTCCGCAACGGATGGATTATTGTTCAGTCCGGCCTCGGTGTTGTAACCCGAGAATGAACAGGCAGGCGCGCTTCTGGCTTGGCTCACCGTGGCCTCGGGTAGGAGCGACGTACGTTCAGTCGCGCTTCCCCAAGTCTGCTGATATGCACCACGTCCTCGTATTCTACGGCTTAGGGACGAGCCGACAACGCCCAAATGTTCCTTTATGTCATTATGCACGTCAGAAACGTCCCACATTGCTCTGTAAAGATAAATCAAATGTGTATACAGAATAAGGATACAATTTAATTTCAGTACCAGTGTCAGCGTAAATTTTTTAAAATTAAAATAAGCAAACAATTTATTTAAAAGTGCCTCATAAGTAGTATTTATTATTATTTTACTAACCTAAATGCGTCCCACCACGCTTGACCTTGTGCCAAATTGACAAACGGTTTGTAGGAGAAGCTATAGTGATGCGCAACCGCGGCTAAAAACATTTCTATGCAAATTAGGAAATCTTGCAATTTGGACGATATATTCCTGATGTCATCTGAGTTATCAGTATTAAAAATACTCGATATGACGTCAAAATACACCAAAAGAGCTATTAATACTCCTTGACTGTAAATAAAAAACACAATATGTATTTTTCCATCTCATTTTCAGAATGTCTTGAATCGAAATACCACGGTAAGAAAGTCCTTAAAAAAATTAATTTAAAAAGTAAATGCCATTTTTCCGAACAATAATTTGTAAAATACAAAAATTTAAAACTAGCTAATTATAGATTACGGTTAAACGACTGCTTGTCCGTGAGTTACGCAATGATATGGATCGTAGTTGAGCAGTCAATTATTTAATTATAATCTGTAATTGGCCAATTTTAATATCTCAAAGCTTTTATATTTCAAAAATTGCTTGAATTTATTTTGTTGAGAAAACAGCTTTCTCGCTGTGATATTTTAATTCGTGAATTTCGAGACATCTTGTATATTTTTCAATTGTGAGGACATTACAGCAATACCTACAAGAATGAGAAGAACACGACAGCTTTGATGCATAAAAACTTTCCAATTGGTTTCATTGGCTTTAAGGCCTCTACGTTGGCACGGTAAAAGAGTACCAGACAGTACATAGCAACGAATTGTGACAAATTGTTTAGAGCGATCATATATGGGAAAGCGACATTCCCTTTAAATTCACCTTCCCCATATACTCCATTCAGTTCGCATATGCTACAAAAATGTAGAAATATACATTTAAATATTGCAATACACAATATTAGAAATACATATCTCTATCAATTGCTTACAATGATATTAAAGTTGATATAGGCCTAACAGCTGCATATTGTAAAATACCATGCTTGCACATATGTACAAATTCTCTGCCCATCTCCCAATCAGGTAGGCAGCACAGAGGAAACATATGATGCACTTGAGGAGAAATTTCCAGTCTATGCTCCAACTGGTGGTCGGCGTTCAAATAGGCCAGTAAATACTTCATGAAATTATATATTACATAAGCTTCATAGCATTCTCTTAAGCTGTCCACGTATATACTTCCTTCAGGAAATACCAAACCTAACCACTATACAAATAGAAAGTGTTTGTTAAACAATTGCGTATAATAATAAATATTTGTATAATTTTGACAATACACAAGAAAAATTTGTAATTTTTTCTTACAGCATTTACTGCGTAAATGGGGACCATCCATAATATTCTGAAAAGAAAAATTTTTATATTTAATAATTTATTGAGAAGAGAACTATTAAAACTATATTTGCAGACTTTTTTTAGTAATGACTAGCCTACCTTATTATATATTTTTGTAGTCTAGGCTGTGTGTAGTATATCATGTGCTGAACAATCTCATAAAATGCGATAGGCAATGCCAGTAGGACAAAGGCACCACCCACCAGCGCACCCTGATCCTGCTTTTTAAAGCCATTCTTAACGGAGTTGACTAGCAAGATTGGTACAAGTATAACAATGAGTAGTGCATACAGGCAGGTCAGCACAGGCAATATCCATAATCTCCAACGTCGGCAGATCGAAGCCATCACTCTCCTTGGATGCTTCAGGTGCCGTCACATTATAATTTTAGACTGTAACTGGATTCAGTTCTAAAAATGTAAACAATCACTAAAGATTAGATTTTATATAATGTTAGCAACAACATTAAGAAATCATAAATTTACATCAAAATTTATAGCACTATTTAGAATTAATTTTAGATAATTTGTAACTGCAATAAAATGTTAGGAGTTTGCTAGCAGATTCATGAAGAATATCTGAGTGCTTTCCATTTAATAACACAAGTACTCGTCAAGACTTTGTTACTCGTGAAATTTAAAAAAGATGGAATGACATTTGTGTCGACTTGTGATTAAATGGAAAGTACCTTTTGTCACTTTCATAACAAATTAAATAGAGCATGTCATCAATTAATCCTTTGTTCATTTATTCCATTTAAATAATTACTGAATGACAGATTTTATTCAGTTTCTGTAGTAAATCTGTCATCATATTTCTCCTGTATTTTTGCTGACAAAATTTGTAACTGAATCTTGTTTTTGATGGAATGAAAGGAGGATAAAGTACTAAGATGCACTGGAAAATAAAAATTTTTGATCACGAAATTACGTATTACTTGACAAGATAGATATCTATCCGTCTATCTATTATTTCACCATAATTACAACGTTTACTTGTTACTGTTGATAAACGATATGCTCGCTGAACTCTTTCCTTCGCAGACCACGTTCGTTTACATATTTTTCCGTTCGTTAATGTCAAATACAGCATAATTCTTTGCGCACTATTATTGCGATGTACGAGAGAGAAAGGGAGACACGAGAAAAAGGGGGGAAAAGATGAAGCAAGATGCCATGCGACAGCGGCGGGGGAAATGAATCAGCTGAGTGACAGCGTAAGTACGGAGTTTCCTTTTTAACCCTTCAGTTTTCGCGTCGCTCGAGTATGATGCGCGCGACGGGTGGCTTACCGTTTCGCAGCGACGACGAATCGACGTCCTGTCGGCGACAAAGCGTCGCAAACGTCACCGGACGGAATACTACGCCGGCTCGACCGCGACCGCGCCGAAACGCCGTATTCACGCACCCGCACTTCACCGTAGATATGCTAATTTGACATTTCGCGTTTACTTTGCACGGCCATCGGTAACCGGAAGATCGCGGCTCCCCCTCGCCGCTGCTTTGGGGGAAGGGAGACAGCGGCGATCAGTGTCGCCAAAGTGCAGACGAAAAATACCACGTCGGGACACAAAAGAGCTGTGGCATTGAAAAGGTTCCCGTGGATCTCATCGTGCCGTTCTCGAGCGAGGAGTGTCGCGCGAGCGGATAGGAGGTAGATCGAACCGGATTATTTCCCGCGGAAGAGCGAAGTATCGCCGGGAATCACGTCGCTCGACGGCCGATCTAGAACCTTTCATCGTCGTCACGCGTGTACGTTGGTCAATATTGTGCAAGCGGCGTGGGAGGAGGATACTTCCGGTTGAATGGCGTCAAGAGCTAAGCACTGTTGTCACATTTTGCCCTACAGTGTTTCAATATTTCGCTTTGTTTATGTCGCCCGTGGCCAGCGGGGCGAAGACGAGTAGCTTGGTTGGACGCGTGAATTACGCTAAACGAAGGTGAGGACGAGTGTATTTTTCCGCACGCAGCGCGTAACAAGGCGCGGCTCGTGGTATTCAATGCGGTCCGGGTGCAGTGACCTTGGTCTCGCTGTCAGTCCCGAAGGAGTATGCACCCCCGCCAAATTCAAACCCCATCGGCGCACTCGGCGCCCCGGCGCGGCGGCGCTATTTTTGGACCTCGATGCATCGTTTTGATTCGTGCAGTTTTTCTGTAGTCTTTTTGCGGTTATTTTGCCGTCTTGTTCAGAATAAAATTACTAAAAAATGTATCATCTCTGTTAAAGCCCGGTGTGTCTGATAAGAAAGAATAGATCTGTTTTTGTGGTTGAATTATAATAGTGTACCGTATAAAATGATAGGCATATGTTTAATATACTGACGAGAAAGCGAGAAAGAGAGTTTTAGTGCAGTCTAAGTAGTACAGGAATAATGAACTGTTCATTGTTTAATCTTAATGGTGTACGGTCTTGTTATTCGCGATGATTTGTTAACGAGAGAACACACTTTCTTAGTAAGGAAAGAATGAGAAATATCAAGTACCTTTCATTTAACAAGTTGACATGTGTTCTATCTTTGTTACTCATAGAATGCAAAAAAAGATAGAATAATATTTATATCGACTTGTGTCACGATTTCAAAATAGATTGCCCAATAAATGGAAATGTCCATTTCTACCAATGTGAATTAACTTTAATCTTGATTTAATTTATTCTTTTTCTTTTTTTTTTGGAACTAAAAAAAAGGTGAAGAGTAAGTTGAACCAAGATTAAAGTTAATATACATTGGTGAAAATGGGCCTGAAGCCCAATTTCACAACTCATGATTAATTCTTAACCGAGGTTTTAACTTATTCCTCATCTTTTTCTAATGCTAGAATTGGAAAGAAATGAGAAATAAATTGAACCTCGGTTAACCGTGAGCTATGAAATTGAGTCTAATGCCCGTTTATACCAATGTAGATTAACTTTAATCTCGATTCAACTTATAGCGTATTCGATTTATTATATACTTACTTGACTCGATCCGACTCCGAGTCAATAATCTGCTTTTTTAGCTGCATTTCTTGCACTGTTTTAGCTCTTCTTTTGTAGCTAAACAGAACAGATCATTGACTCGAAGTCGAGTCGAGTCAATAAATCGAATACACTGTTACTCTTTATCTTTTTCTTGTTAAGAGTTAGTTGAACCGAGATTAAAGTTAAACTGCATTGGTAGAAATGGGTATTAGCTACTTAGATCAACTCCGATTAACTTTAATCGACGGTTAAACCCATTCTACAATTGCGTAACCGTAGTTATAAACCATATAATTGTGATTCTAAGAATTAACCAATCACAGTCAAATAAGAAGAAAATATTCGACTGTGTTTAGTCAATTCTTACAACTACAATCACTTACAATTATAATATATTATATATTATATATTATTATATATTAATAGAAGTTCGTCGAAATGGCTCTAAATAAAAAACACTTTGTATATATAGAGAGAGAGAGAGAGAGAGAGATAGAATATAAACTTTTCCGTTAACTTAAATAAAAGTTATTCCATATGAGATGAATAGAATATGATAATGATATTTAATATCACACAATATAGTTATTTATTTTATATACATTTTCGTTATTTTATTGTTAAAGAACAGTACTGAGAATGTGTTGTCTATTGTTTTGAAAATTCTATTGTAAATGAATTCCACTGTAATATTTCAGTGAGTTTGTAAAATAGTTTCGTTGATTTAAACTTTAAACAAAAATTATTATTATTGTATATACATAACATGTGAGAAATAATTTTAAAATTATCACGTGACAAAAGAGAGATCAGTGAATTAAATATTTGGTGTATATTGGAATTAATTTTAATCTATTTTAATTTTGAACTACTTTTAATTACCAAAGAAAATAGATTTTTTTTATACTAATAGATTTTTCTCTATGATCCACAGATTTGGTATCTATAGATAAGTAAAAGTTTATGAAGAACAGTTATTAGTCGTTGTATTGAGAATACCCAGTTATGGAAGTTACAACGGAAGAAGCACAGGCTGTGCTTCTAGAAGGAATGGAGGGAGCTCAATATATCACCATCCAGAGAGCCGACGGAGAAGCCTTGAGCAAAGTACCGCTGTTAACTCTGAATGGTGAATTAATCTCCGAAGGCATGGTCGTGGATATGATTAATGCAGGCGTCGGCACAGACTATGGCACTGGCACACAGTATTATGAGGCGGACGACTTGCTGTCGCATGAATTAACTGAAGTTGTAATATGTTACTTAATGTCCATATAACTGCACATATTTATACCTTACATGTAGAATGTGAATTGTGTGATGCAGGACGACCGTAGACTTGCCGCGGCCTTGGTCGCGGTACAGTTGCATCAGCAGCAGAAACAGCAGCTCCATATCCAGTCACAACATGAGGACCCGACTCTAGCAGACGTTTCACATCTCGAGACTCTGGCACCAGTGAATTCGTACTCCATTCAAGCAGTATCAGACCCGAACACCGCTCCGTCCGTGTACTCACCTTTGCAACTTTTTAAGAGGATTACGCAGAATGTAAAGCAAGAGTTTATCAATGTTAAAAGCGAATATGACGTTGAGGTTTCCACAGAAAGCAGTGAGGATGCCACGTCGGCATCAGGTCCCAAGAGAACCCTGCCACACAAAAAAAGGATACCTCGGAAGCTAAAACAACAGCAGACAAAGAAGAACGTGGTGCGAAAAGATAATAGTAAATCAGTTCAAGAGAATGTGGTAATTGAATCGAGTAGCGAAGCTCAGGCTAACGTCTTTAAATGTGAATTGTGTAGTTCTAAGTTTAGCAGTCAGTTAAAATTCTTCGAACACTTAAAGGTATATATATTGCAGAGAACAATTACATTTTTTAAATACATACAGTGGCTATCAAAAGTTTTCGGCCAACATATAATTTTAACAACAGATAATTTTTGATCAATTAATTTTTTAGTTTATATTATAAATTAATAAAATTCTTATTATAGTTAACTTAACATTTTAAGTACTAGAATATATTAGGCATTTATATACTAGATCTTTATTTGAAAAATTCTTTATCTGAGCAATACAATAAAACTACTTATTGACTGAAAACTTTTGATAACCACTGTGCATATGTATCTTTAACAGAAATTTAATAGAAATAGAAATATAGATATAAAAAATAATTTTAATATAGGTACATTATGAACCAGTAAAACAAGAAACGCGAATAGCTCAAGCAACAAATACTAATATCTCGATAGTGCCGGAAACAGTGCCGGAAACAGTACATCATTTAGAGAATACCGTGATTGAAGAATTCAGTGAACCTGAAGACCTTATGGAGGGTATTCGGAACGTAGGTAAGAGAGATAACATCTTACACTAATATTTTTTAAACTTTTCAATATGAATAACTATTACGAACGTGTTGATCTTTGCCGTTTGCAGTGGAAGAAACTGGCGCGCGTATCGACGATGAGACAGACCCTCCACTATCCACTACAAACAACGAATCAACTATGTGGACCATTACTGGCGTCACAGAAGAGGTACAACAAAGGGATCAACAAATAAAACCACCAGAAGTTAGTAATGATAAGAGTTCCAACGAGAAGGCAAAGACTGACATTCCACAAACGGCCAAAAAAAAGAAACCATCGAAAACACGAAAGTCAAGTTCGTATAATTCTTTTTTCCCCCAAAAGTTCTTGACGTGCTAAAGATATAAATTTTAAACACAGTATTTATAGATGGTGAATTAACATGTGATCAGTGCAATCGTTCATTCCACCATAAAAATAGTTTAGTTTATCACATGCGATCTCATAGCGGAGAACGGCCGCATCAATGCGATATTTGCAGTAAACGTTTCTTTGCTGCCAGTGCGTTGAAAGTAAGCAGATGTTCGCAAAGTGTAAAATTTATTTTTGTTAATAATATATAAAAATCTAACTATTTTATTTCGACGAATAGGTACATAAGAGACTTCATAGCGGCGACAAACCATACAAATGCGAAGATTGTGGGCGACACTTTCGACAATGGGGCGACTTAAAATATCACTCGACGAGTCTCCATTCGGAGCACAAACAGTACCAGTGTGAATATTGTGCCAAGGAGTTTGCCCGAAAATACTCACTGATCTTACACAGGCGTATCCATACCGGCGAGAAGAACTACCGTTGCGAGTATTGCAACAAAACGTTCCGCGCGAGCAGTTACTTACAGAATCATCGTCGCATACACACTGGCGAGAAGCCATATCCGTGCGGAGTGTGCGGCAAGCCGTTCAGAGTACGAGGTGATATGAAGAGACACATGCAGACGCACAGCCGGCCGAAAACAAAATCGAGGAAAAATGCCAAGCAGACAGAAGGCGACAAAGGAACGCAAGCAAAAACAATTCAGGATCTCGTGAGAGACCTAAAACTAGAAGTCGAAGCGACCGGTGTTGTGGAGATTGTCTCGCCGGATGATAATCAGGAGACTATTTTGCCGCATACAGGCGCTCGAAACTTGGAATACACCGTGACATCTACAGCAGATACTGTAAACAGGGATCCTTTGGAAGCAGTTGTGCGAACAACTGATAGTATGTGAGTAAATTCTGTTGTATATCTCGATTCAGGATCTCGTAAGAAAAGAGCTTTTTTATATATTGTGACTATTAATTAATTTATTGTGTTTCCGCAGGCAATATTTTTTTATGTAATCATGAAAATCTTAAAAGAAGAAAATGTATTCCATTGCATGACAAGATTGATTATTTATGGAATATCGGCACTTAAACGGTCTGTACAAACATTACGTTTCATGAAATTGTTTTTAATAGCAGATTAAGTAAATTCAAAATGATTTCATTTTTTTTTTAAATTACACTGTTAGAAATGTAACTATCTTTACATGCAAATAAAGCTCGTGGTTATGAACGAAATTAAAAGTAATGAATAATTTAACTGAAAATTAAGTTACAGTAATTACTTAAATGTAATGAATGTGTACATTAAATTTATGTATAAAAATATAAATATATATACGTACAATTTAATTTAAAAATATATTAAATTTTATGTATATGTACACAAATATATTTTTTTATAAATATATTCAATTTAATAATATTAATTTAGTAATTTCATGAAATTAAATTCAAATTGTGTAACTTAAAATTTAATGAAATTTAA